TGAAAATTATTTATAACACAATTATTACATGGCATATAATTAGCTTTATTAGAAATAAACGTCTTTCTAATAAAGCTCAAGTTTTGTGTTATTTTAAAAGTTGTTTCTATATTACTTAGGTCCAACTATCTCATGGTCAATTATTTTTTCTCCAGGGAAAGATATTTTACATACACTAGCCCTCAGGCCGACAGTGTTGTATGGAGAAGAAGATTCTTACTTTATCATCAGTGCACTGAGGGCAGCTAAGAAGAGGAAAGGTGTTCTTCAACGAGTCCATAGTGTCGATGAGAGGTTGCAAGTCACATATGCAGGAAATGCTGCTTGGGCTCACATTAGAGCCAAGAATACTCTTTGCAAGGACAAAACAGTCGCCGGAGAGGTGTATTTTATCACTGATGATACTCCAATAATTGACATTTATGAAACCATGCGACCTTGGGTAGAGGCTCGAGGGTTCAGACTCTCAAGTTATGTACTACCTTACATGCTTGTCTATACTATATTATCCATTGTTTGCTTTTTCTTAAGGTTGGTTAGTCCTTTCTACAAGCCTCAAGAACACGTAACATCTACGGCAGAGTTAAAATACTTGTGTACCACTTATTTTTTCAATCGTGTTAAATCCACTTTAAGACTTAGCTATTACCCAATATACACCCCTGATGAATCCAACAAAAACAGTCTGGTTTATTATGCCAATGTTAAAATATAAGCTAATTCATTATTTGACTTGTAGATCAAATAAAAAAACAAAAAAAACATTACTGTAGCTTGATCAAAGGGTAAGTTATAATTTAAAAAGTATTCAAAACCAATTCAGAGTGATTGAATCAGAGTTTGGTACTCCTAAAGACATTATTAAAAAATTCCACTATAAAGAAGATGAATTGTTGGAAAGGATTCAGAAGAGAGCTTCTACAATGATATTTGGAATGGAAAGGTTGGCATACAAGGATGGGCTAAGATCTCTGAAATTGTTTTATCATGACAAAAGAAGAGTTGGAGGGGATCCGATTGATAAAGGAAATGATAATACATTATCTTTATTCTTATATAATGGTAAAAACGGTAAGATTAGGGGACACGAAATATATAAATTTTGGCAAGTTAGGAGTCAGCTTCATCTAAGACAGCTTTATTTTTTTTTAACAGGGTAGTTGGCCTTTGGAAAAAGGTTGCTTTCAGATGTGGTAGGTGCAATTAATGTAAGGGAAGGTTTGATAATTATAAGGACTAGCTTTGAGTATTTTATTTTAGTATAGTGGATGGGACAGCCTAGATGGTCCAGTAGGTTCCTTTTCCTTACATTCTATTTATACATACGTAATTCATGCATTATTTTTTTAACATACTTTTGACAAATTTACTGATGTAGTTAAATTTCAACATTTTTGATTTATAAAACGTGTGTTCTGTTCAATTAATAATTTGGTTAAAGACCAACATGGGTATGTTGTTTCAGTGGAACTTGAAATTGAAACGGAGAAGACAGAATGGGTTTGACAACTTTAATGGACCTGTTGAAATGAAATGATGTTTCAGCTTCTTTTCCCGAGACCTTGTAGTGTCTTATAAAGGTTAGCATGGCCGTGTGGGTCAAGCGGGTGTGGTGATGGGTAGTTGTTGTCAGGAGGACACTGATGTCATCTGTAGAATTTGGTGGTGGTGGTTATCCACAGGTCGATGATATGCAAAACTATTGCCTCTGTTGAGTTCAGGTTGTTGTAGTTATGCAGATAAGATTCTTTGACTTTTCTTTCTTTCTTTCCAGTGGCAAGCTTTGTCTAAAATTATATGTTGATCCCAGTTTATGATATTGTCCTGTTTTGTAATTATGCCGGTTTAACCTGAATGTGGTAGTCTAAGTGCATTTTTATGTCTATCCATCAATCAGGTTCTCTGATGTAAATGTTTCTGCAAGAACATGGTACCTTTAGATGAGTTTTTTTTTTATATTTAGACTTGTTGGTTGTATCACATTAGGAAGGATGTTTCTTTATCACTAAATTTCCAGCAAATCTTTTTAAGTTGGGAATGTAGGTTAGAGGCATGATAAATGTGTGTTATGTTGGCCTTGTTGTGGAATCTTGTTCTTCTTAGATGTATATATAGAACTGGAAGGGTATCCATTGTTTCTGAAAACTTTCTCTCAGAAGATTAGTTCTTTGTTACAAATCTTTCCGGCTCTGATGTAATCCTATTTTTAATAGTTCTGGGGTGGTTTTACTTGTAGTGTAGGCACAGAAGTAGTGATATGGTCATCATACAGATGAACTAGTATTGCAAGAAATGGGTTTTAGTTTCTTCCAACTACATTGTGGATTGTATACTGGGGTTTACAGAATTTAAGTGATGGAGGAAATCTTCAAAAAATGATAATCTAAAAGACCTAATAACAAGTGTTTCCAAATCTTAGGATTCAAGTTAATTGTCTGTTGGTCACTTGCTTCAAAATCTTCCGTAAAAATGTTGCCGAGAACAGATGATCCCATAAGAAGACTACTGGTTTGTTCATAGAATCTGTTTCGAAATTGGAATGTAGGTGAAGTTAGTGCAAAAGTTCTGACTGACAGAAACTTGTAAGATGATGTAGAAAGTTGTCTACTGTTAATCTCTTGTGGACCAAGGTTGGCATGAATGCTGGGGAATAGATTAGTGTCATCAAAACTGACCAAAACATCAGAAGGTTTTTAAGATATATTTACAAAAATTACTGCATTCGTGACTTTGGTTGGTGAATTATTTGCAAGGAACCTGGCTGCATTATGGCAAGATGGGTCTATGGCACTGACAATGGGTCCAAGAGGAACATCAGGTTTATATTACTTGGGTAAACCATCCGTTGATGTTTAAGAATCATGCCAAACCTTTCACTCTTTTTGGTGGGTAAGATTTTACATTCTTTGTTTGCAATTAATAAAGGACTATTTTTAAAAATATTCCAGAAAAA